TATATATATCTGGTATTCACGTCCAGTATGGAGCCATAGGTTTTCTTTTTCTCGGCTTGTATCTTCGTCTTCCTTTACGGTGCGACCAGGTGAGTGAGGCGAGGTCTCTATCAACCGTCTTTGTCATTTATGCACGCAACCGAGGCTAAACTGAGCGCGTCGTCTTCATCTTACCCGAGGCCAACTACCATTCATCATTTCTTTGCGCAGACGATCCAACCAAGCACAATTTGAAGCTCTGTAAGTTCGATTGAAGCAGTTTTCTCTTCTTCTCTTCATTTTTGTTCGCTCGTTCATCTTCTTTTCATTTTCTATTTAAGTGTTCCGATTTCCGACACTTGTGTGTGCTCTGTCGAAGGCCGAGGAGGGAGAGTGAGGTGAGCCAAACGATTGAAGCCTGGTATATATTCAATCTCTTAATTTTTTTTTTGAAGATATCTATTTTTTCAATATCACTATTTTTAACCAATGTTTTTTAAACATTCACTATGTTGAACTTTGATTCAAACGTGTATAATATGAATTTAACATTTTATTTCTCTAAAAATAAAATGTCTTTGCAATGAGAAAGATTCACATCTAGTTCAGAATGACAAAGACAAAATAACAACTAAAACCCTATACTTATAATATGAATTATAATATGAAACCCTAGATTTATAATATGTTGTACATTGATAACTTTTTTTGGTTGTATTTAACACACTAGACTTAAGAGTTAAGCATTATACTATACAAAGGCATGAAACAATAGTTTCAAATTAGGGAAGTTTTTATTTGGCATATTTTACTTGTCTTATAATATGTCACCCAATTTTTTAAGGCTTTATTTCTTTCATTTTATCAGTATTTTTAAAAGCAAAATGAGCTCTAGTGCAGGTGGGATTGGACTAGGCGAAGGCTCAAAAGTGCCTTGTCTAGAAACTGATAAGCCCTTATGGAATTATGTTATAAAGTTAGAGAAAACTTTTGAAGGAGAAGGAAATGTGTCATTCAAATGCAATTATTGTGGTGTCTCCTACAAAGAATCATATTCTAAGGTGAAAACACATTTACATAAGATTGGTGGCTATTGAATTAAAATGTATCCTAAGATTACTACTTCACAGTTGATAGAATTGAGCAGACATGTTGATGAAGCCGAATCCAAGATCAAAAGGGCACTTCTTAAAGAGATACATTTTCCATCTACCTATGGTTCATCTCACACTTCTTCCTCCTCCATTAGAGTTGATCATTTTAGTTCATTTAGGATTGAAGGATATGAATCAAAGAAAAGAAAAGGAGGTGCCAATAGTTATTTAGAGAAGGCTTTTAGCATGAAGATGCAAGAGCAACTTGATGGTGAAATTGCAATGATGTTTTTTTTTTTTCAGCAGGACTTCCATTCAACCTTGCAAGGATTCTTAAATTATAATGATGTATTCACTTGTGCATAAAATAACAACCTTGTAGGTTATATTTTACCTGTATACAATATAATAAGAACAAAATTATTAGAGAGGGAAAGAGCAAATATTGAGACACTGCTTGAACCAACGAAAGGAGTGTGGAAAGAAAATTGTGTCAGTTTGATGTGTGATGGTTGAAATGATCCTCAAAGAAGACCACTCATCAATTTCATGGCTATTATAGAGAGTTACATAATATTCATCAATGCTGTGAATTGTGAAGGAGAATACAAGGATAAATATTTCATTTCCAATTTGATTAAAGAGGTGATAGTGATGATTGGGCTATCAAATATTGTGTAAGTTATCTTTGATAATATATTAGTATGTAGAGTTGTAGGATTGTTGGTGGAGCAAATATACCCTCATATTTTCTGGATTTCCTATGTTGAGCAAACTTTAAATCTTGCTCTAAAAATATTTGTGCAGCCAAAAATACAAAGGCTAATGAAATCATATATACTGAATGTCATTGGATAATAGTGGTTGCATGTGATGTTGTTCTGATCATAAATTTTATTATGAACCACTCAATGAGACTTGAAATATTTAATGATTTCTACATTTGAGAATGTTAGCTATTGTAGAAACTTGTTTTGCCTCTATAATAATCATGTTGACAAGGTTCAAATAAATAAAAAATGCTCTTCAATTTATAGTGATTAGTGAGAAGTGACTTGTTATCAAGAAGATGACGTTGGGAAGGCAAGATACGTAAAAGGAAAGGCCTTTAGATGATTTGTGGTGGGATGTTATATATTATATTATAGCTTTTACTGATCTAATTTATGATATGTTGAGAGGCTGAAATAGATAAATCATGCCTACATTTGATTAATGAGATGCGGTCTCTATGTTAGCAAAAGTGAAAGAAATTATATACAGACATAAAAGAAAACACATGATGAGGACTCGAGTTTTTAGAACGTTTTTTATACTATTCTTGAGGATAGGTGGAGCAAAGAACACTCATCTTCATTGTTTGACTTATTCATTAAATCCAAGGTAAATTTGAATATCTTTTCTAATTTAGTTTTTAATTTGTTAGCTAATCAATACATAATTTTACATTCTTTGTATTCTTTTAAGGTATTCAATAAAAAATGACTTTAAGAAGACCATCAATGTGTTTTGCAACAAAAAAATTTAGAAGTTTCAAATATGAGAAAGATATGTTTGAAACGATATTCCCCAAATGAGGAAAGAAGAAATATTAATATAGAACTTACAAAGTTATTTAGATATTTAGAGGATTTTGATGATCAATAATCTTTGGTTGATAGATGGAGGATGGGTCCAAAGATATGGTGGTTGATTCAGGGAGCTTCAACATCATTTCTTCAAACAATAACAATAAAATTTTTTGGTCAAGTTTCATCATCCTCTTGTTATGAGAAAAATTGAAGCACATGCTTATTCAATTGATGAAAAAGAATAAAATTATTCCACAATGGCCTGAAAATTTAGTTTTTGTTCATACAAATCTTCATCTTCTATTAAGAAAGACCCCACTTTATATGACAAGTGATAACAAGATGTGGGATGTTGCTGGAGATGGATTTGAGTCCCTTGATGATATGGGAATATTGGAGATTGCAAATCTTTCTCTTGATGAAACAGAGTTGAAAGAAATGATATTCAATGATAATGATATTGAAGGCCAAAAACAAACCTTTGAAGCTAATCATATCATTCCCTCTACCGAGTTGTTCAAGCTTGATGTTGTATTAATTGGTTTTTTGCTTATATTTTTTTTGTTATACTAGACATTTTGTACTAAACATTTTATATTATAAGCTAAACAAGCTATCATGACATTGATTTATTGTTGTTTGTCATTTTCAATATGATGTTTCTTTAATTTTTTTATATTATATTAAAAAATTATTATGCCGTGTCCAAGTCACACCTGTGTCCTATATTTAAAAAAAAGTCGTGTCGCGTCTTTGTTCGTGTCCATGCATCATAGACTAACCTTAACTTAGAGTATTCGTTCCTTTAGATGAAAATTCATCACATTTGATAATTTATTAGTCATATATGATAAATAATGTATAAAAATTAAAATTAGATAAAATCCACTTTCCATTGAAAATTATGCCACCACCAATGAAAATAAAATTGTATCAAATTTGATAGAACTCAGTTATACAATAAAACAAATTACGAGTAATTTGAGATCTAGTGTAAACAAATAAATGATTAAATAGTAAATCAGAACTCATGGAGAAAACGACCCTTGAAAATTTTCAATTTCCAATTGTACCAGGAGATGGCTACAAGGAACTTCTTCCAACTAAAAATTTGTTGAATTAAGATAGAAATCATGTAGAATGTTTTTTTTCATGTCTTAAACCCATACCTTAATCAAAAATATATTTCAAGTTGCATTTATAAAAATATTAAAGAACAGAGTCAAGAGCCCTGTCCAAATTGACAACAACAACAAGCCTTTATCCCACTATATGGGGTCGGTTACATTTATCCTTTTTCTCCATTGTCCTGTTAAAAGTCAAATTCTCATCTAAATCTAATAAAGAAAGGTTATTTCTAATATTTTCTAATCAAGTCTTTTTAGGTTTAGCTCTACCTTTCTTAACATATATGAAATCTAAAACATCTACTTTCCTAACTTGGTCATCAGAAGACTACCGTTTTATGTGACCAAACCGTCTAAAGCGACTCTCTTTATTCTTATCTTCCACTGGAGCTACTCCAACCTTTTCACGTATATGCTCATTTCGTATGCTGTCTCTATGAGTAATGCCAGTCATCTACCTAAGCATCTTCATCTCTGCAACACTTAACTTAATATTATTTTTCTTTTTAATGGCCAACATTCTGTACCATAAAGCATTGCAGGTCTCACTATCATCTTATAGAATTTTCCCTTAAGTTTGAGAGGGACTTTTCTATCACTCAACAAGCCTGATGCATTCTTCCACTTCAACCATCCAACTTGAATTCTATTAATAATATCTTCATCTATTTCACCATCACTCTGAACAATAGACTAAAGATATCTAAAACCCTATCCAAATTGAGAAGACGAAAAATCCCATAATAAGCATAGATGTGAACCGGAGCAGAGAAAGAACCAAGAATTCCATAATGGATGAGACTGTAGGAAACTAGCTCAACAGAAATGTTATAATCTAGAATATCACAAAGTGGAGCAACAGCAGGACACGGACAAATAACATAAATTTTGTAATACTAAACACAATGATTTGAAATCAAGGGGCCTAAAATTCTGCAGATTGAAGATGGTTGGGAGATCTGCATTAGCATGCAGCCCTACAGATGTAGCCTTGTTGAAAAATTCATAGACACTGGAAATATTTTAAAACGTGACGAGTGATTTGTTAAAGGTTTATAAATCATGAACTAAATGCCATTGGAGTTGTATCTTAACACCCTTGCCATAGTTTCACTTCTCTGCAATTGCAATCTATTTCGTGCTGAAGAATTTTTTATTCTCAAGCTTTGCTATTTTATTGTGTTATTTATTTTTCTGAATCCAACTAATACTTTTTATTTCCATTTTAGAGGTTCCTGTGCCCCATGTCCATTGATGGTGACAATTTCTTGCTTTTGTGGTGAAACTTATTTTGAGGTGCAGCTTTGATTTCTGGTTCATTATTTCAACCCTTAAATAGAAACTAGCTCTTGTTGTATATTTTTGACGAATTACGCTGTTTCTTGTTTGGAGTTGTCTATAATATACATGTATTTATGAATTATCATTTGTCTCTAGTTTTATTTAGTTCATATTATTTTCCGCTGAGTCTGGAGAAAGTTTTTGTCCTCACTGTGATCCAGAGGTCACAGTTTTAAATCTCTACGATCACCTCTCTATAATATTGGGGTTATGGATGCATGCATTAACCTCTTAGAAGGCTTCATGATTGTAGTACGTGTTTTTTACATTATCTTCCTGAGGATTATAGAGATTACTTATAATTTTAAAACCAACTCCACACTCCATACATTAGAAAACATATGATATGGCACATAAAATTATATTCATATACACAGACGTAGAGGGAGGAGGCTGGGGAGGAGGGGGAGAGACAGGGAATGTTAATTGGGCATATCGCCAATCATCTTCACTCTAGAAAATCAATCAGCTAAATGCATGCCACGATAAAAATCATATGCTTCAAATCTTGTGGTTTTGTATTATCGTTCACATACCCTATGTCTTGCAGGCTGGTGACTTAGAATATTAAGGAGGTTCTTGACCTCTAGCCACGTTGCACAATTTGGGATTTGAGGTTAAATCAAAGTTGCTTTATAGTACAACAAAAAGGAACATGTAGTTTACATATTGGTTTGCTTTGGTCAAATGGATTATACCAAGCTAGTCTCGGGCCATTTTAAGTTGATCTAGTGCATTTTTACTCATTTTTTGCTTGATTCATATAGGTCCTATTGCTTTGTATCATGTAGATGACCATGGGAGGAAGACAACTTGAGCTATTTGAGCTGGTCTAGTCTGAGTTGGGATGCATATTTCTATAAAATAATAACCTAAATAGTTCTAATGGAAAAGGAAAAAAAGATTTAATGCAAAACTAAAAGCTTATTTGTAATTGTTACATACCATATTTTTTTTTCTTTTTAGAATCTAAAGGCCTATGAAGGGAAGACAACTTGAGCAAATTTGAGTTGATCTAGGCCAATTTAAGATGCATACCATTATGAGAATATAATTTTAGATATTGATAAGGATAAAATGAAAAAACCGTAGGTCCCGTTTAGTTCGAACGTATCTTAAGCTTAAAGCCTCTTTGAGCTTGTAAGCTAGCTAATGATGGGACGTTAAGTGGTGTGGCTTTAAGTGGTTCTTTATCTAGTGCACTAAAAATAAGCACGGCTGTGTTAATACAAAAGTATACGAGTGTTGACCTATGTACAATACGCAAGGGAAAATAAAAAAATCGCGTACATACCTCAAAACCATCAGATCCTCGAATCCTACCGAGGTTGTGCCGATTCGGCTCCGCACATGTCTCGATCGGAAATCCCGCCTAAATCCCGCGATCTGCCTCGCAGGACGAACCCGCACGTCGTTAAAAGCCCAACGAGCGAAGCCTTTAGGGCTACTTCTGAAATCTTCTCCTTCCACGAACACCTCCCGACCTCCTGCTTCTCTTCTCCCGTTCGCTACCCACACGACCCCAACTCCCGATCTCCTTCTCTGTCCTGACCTCCACCACAAACCGCAGCTTCACCGACATCTTCCACAGACCGATCTTCTCCAAGATCCCGTCGTCTCTCATCCACTTGATCTCCTCAGGCTGTCGACCTTCAGCCCAAACCGAGAGAGAGAGAGAGAGAGAGAGAGAGAGAGAGAGAGAGAGAGATTTTTTATTAAAGATTAATTAACATTAATTATTTATAATTAATTAAAGTTGTTTATAATTAATTATAATGACTTTTAATTAATTACAAAAAAAGAAAAAAAAATGATCCCCTCTACTCTCTTTCCTCGGCATGTGTGTCGGGCTGGCAAACCACCTATGCACGCCTTTGTTGAGCGTGGTAGGAGGGAACCCGGTGCGACGCCTACGACGAGGTTGACGAGCGACCCCTCGATCCACGTGCCAACACCGACAACCCCGCGAAGGTACGAATTCTTATAAACTCAAAACTCTACTTCAATGTTCGTGGCGAACCGGAAAACCGCCCCAAGCACGCCTTTGGTGGGCGTGGTGGGATGGGACCCTGGTGTGGCACCTACGGCGAGGCAGAGTCACTCATAAGTACCCCCGAGCGGGGGGAAAGCAAACTGCCTTTTTCATAAAAATGCTTTTTAAAAACCCCATGCACGCCTTTGTTGGCGTGGTGGGAGAAAAACAAAAATACCACCGCGGTGTCTCATAAACACCAACCGTGCATGTCTTTGTTACGTGGCGGACAGGCGGCCTTTTGGTTTTTCCTCTAAACGGGGGAGACGCCGGGAGGCTGCCGAAATTTGGATCGAAAATCCAAGGACTTGGAACAATTTGGAACATAGACTTGATTGAACTCAGAAGAACTACGGACTTGTACTTGGATTTTTGAACAAGATCTAAATGACTTGATAAAACAATTGAAAACAAATAAAAAATGTGCAAAAGCTTAACTCAAACTCAAATCATAACTTGAACAGTTTGGATATGAAACTGCACTTGCAAGGACAACAGGGGACATATGACTTGTACCTACACTTGAACATCTGAACTTGGACTCTACAAGATCACATGAGACTTTGATTTGGGACTTGAGTTTGATACTCGAACTCAACCAGAAGTTTTGTGGGCATGCATATGAGCTTGAATTGAACAAAATCACATTGAATTTGAACCTAAATATGCAATAAATTAAACCCAAATTTAGCCAAATGAACTCAAAGTTGAATCAAATAATGAAAATTTGTAAGCTTGGGACTTATAACCTTGAACAACAACTAGGCTTGGATTTGAATCTTATTTGACTCAAAAGATCCATGAGTCGAATCATTTGAACTCAAACTTGGAGCAAAGCTTTAACCAGACAAACTCAAACTTGAGTTTGGACTTGAATTTGATTTGAATCAAACTCAAATGAAAAAGTGAGAACTCATAAAGAATGTTGAATGAATTCTCAAGACATACAAATGATGAATGATAGAATTAAATGGCTTATAACATTTAAGCAAAATAAACTTGTAAGTGAGAACAAGTGATATCTGCATCGTCATGCAAGCAAATTCAATTGCTCCTATAAACAAAGATATTTGGTTTGCATGGATAAATCAACAATAAGTGTGGCTCCTTTTGTTCGTTACAAATGTAGAAGTGCACACAATATATTACGAGCGACATTAAAGGAGCTACAAGGAATGCAATGTCATATCTCTTATCAACAACAATTCAATTCCATGAAGATATAATCACGAAGGAATTGCAAATGCTAATCAAAGAGGGTGATCCATCTGAATCTCATGCAGGCAAGTAAATTTCAAATCATGGTTTAAATCATTCGAATAAATCACATTTGAAGATAAAGGGCTTGCAAATGCGATGTGCTTACAAATAACAAGAGAATGTCGAAAAATATGCTGTGGTTACATGACCATGACTTAAAATACCTTATAGAGCGATAGCTGATCTGCATGCAAATAATAATAGAAGATCTGCAGTACCTACAATCTCTCAATGAATACATATGTATGTGTAACATGCCACCCAGGGGTAGATGCAGAAAGACTTCAGTTAATGCTGTATCCTGTAGTGAATTTCAGGATGTAAATAAATACATCTACCTATCTACATGCACCAGTGGCGAATGTATTGAAAAGACCAAAGATTGCCATAAAATATATGAAGAATACGAGAAGCGCAAGCTCCTACGACCCAAGGAAGGAGATTAGTTAGTGCACTACAATCTACCTGCGCAAATCATGCAATTAGTGCACGACAATCTACCTGAACAAAGCAGCGAATAACTAAACTCAGAAGATGTTACGCCACGCTATCAGATCCGCAACTTCTATGTAAGCGGACCGAAGGCGTCTACAAATACTTTCAAAATACCCCGCACGTGCACCGTAGTTTGTATACACATAGGTACACTAAAAGAGGGTGTACAATCGAGAACCCGCATGGGCCTCGGCGAGCGTGTTATTGGTACACATGTGACGTTTAGAGATGCTGCGCGGGTTATTAAATTTGAACCCGATCCTCCTAAGCAAGTAAAAAGGAGTCGTCAGGGTATAATTATAAAATGCCTCCAAACACCCGCATGGGCCCCGACGAACATATTATTGATACACATGTGACGTCTAGGGATGCTACGCGGGTTGATATGTGAATTCTAGTTCGAACTCGATCATTCTATACGAATCAATAGGAGTCGAGAGGGTTCGAACCTTCAAACAAATACACGGTTGTGGCTACCAGTGTATTTGTTTTAATACATTCATATTTGGCCTTCAAGGCCCATAATAATGAGAATTCACTATCAATGGCATAAAACCCATGAAACCTGATCCTCTATCCTTATACTACGTATCTATAGATACAATGTATCTGATCGATGACTAGCCTTAATCGAAAGTTCTCTATCGTTATCTAAAGGGGTAATTAACTATAGGGGCTTGTGCCTATAGGAAACTAGAACTCAGATCATAAAGTCCTCGCAAAATGAGGGCGAAATCTCTGGGTAGTGTCTTATCTACAAACCCATCTGTCTTCCAAAATTTACCTCAGAATTTATCAGTTAAAACTCACTCGCCGAAAAAAAAGAAAAGCAAGCGGAGGCCGAGGTCGAATTTTCGGAGCCCACTGATTTTTGGCGACTCCACTAGGGTTTGGTTTCTCTTTCCATCTTTGACTTGTCGTCTCAGTGTTATAGTAGCAGCTATATCAAATCATACAAAATTTTGAGTCTTTCAAAATGATCATTCAAGGAATTAGATATTTGAATTCTCTAAAGAATGATTGTTCAAAAAAATTTTCCGTTGAGATAACGTATTTTAGCAGTATTTTAGATTTATATTATTTGAATTGCTCGTTAATATTATCTTCTCTTATTTTTGTGTTATGTGCAAGTCTGTATTTTGAAAGTGCGGGGTGGTGTATCAGATTC